TAAGGTTGGTTATCACCTCTTCTTGTAATATAAGTGCTCCATTTTTCCCAGAGGACATCACCTTTGTCCCTTTGTAATCTGAGACTAAACGTCAGTAGTTCCATTGTTTGGATGTCTTTAATTATGGCCTCCCACTGATTAACCGTGGGAGGTTCTGTGTTGAGCCATCTTCTTGTTATGGCTTTTTTGCTGGCAGCCATGAAAATTTTTAGGAGGTATCTGTCTTTTTTTTGGTAATTCTGTGTCCATATTGCCCAGGTAGAATGATAAACAAGTGAAATTAAAATTATACTGCAAGACTTCACTGATAATACTTTGAACTCCCTCCTAGAAGGATTTAAGCATGGGACAGCTCCAAAATATGTGTGTATGATCTGCCATACTGTGTCCACACCCTCTCCAGCATGTGGGTTGTAGTCCTGTGTGTTTAGACTTTTGCTTTGGTGTTATGAAGAATCGGATATAGTTTTTCCAGGAAAAGTCTCTCCATAGTTGTGAGGCTGTAGAAGTGATTACGATTCCCAACTCTTTTTCCCATTTCGCCTTAATATAGTTTGTTGAATGACCTCTTAATTCAGCTATATGTCTATACAGTTCGCCAATGATCTTTCTGGACAGTTTTGTATTATAGGCTTTGATAAACATTTTGGTAATACCTGATATATTTTCCTGTATAAGTCCTTTAATGTTCTTATCAAAGTAGTGCCGGAGTTGGAAACACACTACTACATTTTCGATTTAAAATGCACTACGGTTTGAAAACTCTTGGGCAGCATTTTAGTTTGGACAGGCACAATTAGAGACTTGTGGAAACGGTGACACAGGAGCCCACGTTTGCTCCCTGATTGAGTCTTATCAGTCACGCCATGTCAAGCTAAAACACTATAGCTAGGTCTACATACCTTTAGCGACTTCATCCTTCTTGTGTGGGTACTCCTTTCACATTGCCATGGCTTCTTTGGTGATAGGTAATGCTCCTTGTACCACTTTAATATGTTGCCGTATTTGCTTTCAACATTTCTCAATCTGTTTTCCGCCACCTTGTTCACCAGTCCATGTTCCACCTCGTCCTCGGTCCAAGCAAAGAAACCTCTCATCTTACTTTTTGCCATCTCCATAGTATTTTATGTAACTAGGCAACCAACTGCAGAGTAGACCATCTGCTTCCTGTTTATATTGTCATGTGACATACGTTTTCAGGCGTGTTAGTATAGACTGAGATTGTTTCTGAAATGGTGCTAAAACACTTGTGTGCATGATCGTTTTCATTTTAGAATGTTAAATGGACTGCACTTGTATAGCACCTTTCTTGTCTTCCAACCACTCAAAGCGCTTAAACACTACGTATCACGTTCACCCATTAACACACTGGTGGCTGAGGTTACCATACATGGTGCCACCTGCTACTCAGTAACCATTCACACGCTCTCACAAATCGATTGAACAGCCACTGGGAGCAATTTGGGGATCAGTATCTTGCCCAAGGATACTTGATGTTGATCTACTGATTAGTGGACGACCTGCTGTATCTCTGAGCCACATCATGTAAGTGTGTATGTGGCCTAAGGTTCAATCAATCAATTCAGTCAATTTTATTTATAAAGCCCAATATCACAAATCACAATTTGCCTCACAGGGCTTTACAGCATACGATATCCCTCTGTCCTTAGGACCCTCACAGCTGATAAGGAAAAACTCCCCAAAAAAACCTAGCTTTTGTGTTAACATCACTTGTTTTTGTCTTGTAACCCTCACAAGAAAATGTTGACAAAGTGCAACTCTCTTATATTCATCTCCTGCATAAAGGCTGAGACTTACTGGGAACCAGCTAACACGCGCTCAGGTCATGGCTCTTTTATGTTTGTTTAACTCATATACCATTGACACGTTTTGTTTTACTTTTCTGTTTTGTACCTGCCCTCTGACAGAAGTTGGACCAGCCAAACTCTTTGCTTAACGCGTTGTTGAGATTTGGGAGGTGTGCGTGCCAACTCTCCTGTGACGCACAGTTACCCATAACACCCTTCACAGAAACATTCATGTGCATCTTCACAGAAGCATAATTCCATCTTAAATTGGAGAGTGAACAGTTTAGATACAGGTGGGAGCTTGAAGTAGCACTCCTGCTCCTTTGCATTGTGAAAAGCCTGTTGAGGTTACTCAGGTATCTGATCAGGAGGATACCTCATGGTTGCTTTCCTGTGGAGGTATTCCAGGCACGTCCAACTGGGAGGAGACCCCGGGGCAGACCCAGCACATGCTGGAGGGATTATTTATCCCACCTGGCCTGTTATCCCCCAGGCCTCTTCGCTTAACCTGCTGCCACCATGACCCAGATGTGGTTTAGAGCCAGAGGGTGGATTGATGGAAGAATAAATTGATAGACAGGAGTTCTGTCGAAGTAGCAAGGGGGTTAATGCCTTGCTCAAGGGCAAGTTGATGGTAGTATTTGCCAGACATAAAATCATTCCTCATCTGATTTAACCAACAAGTCAGTAAAGTGAAGCAGTGACCACAAACAGAGGATTATTGTTTCTACATGTCAGTTTTTGTACAGATTAAATAAATGGGATATGATGTGTTAATTATTGATCTTTAAAGGTGCTGGTAGGTGGACTTTGTTACCTTTAGACACAGCCTGATTTAGATCAGCTGAAGAAAAGCCATCAAGGCTGACAATGATTCTGGACGCACTGCAAAAACAAGGGTGACAGATGCTCACCGACTGCCCAACATTGACCCACAGTGGACTGTCAGCTTGGTTTGTCAGGGCCCTTCTGATCCTCAGGACTCGGAGCTCTGCTAGTTTTTCATCTGAGTGATTTAATCTGACGCTGTTTTACACCTGGAATTAACTGTTATATTAACTGCCTTGTATCACAGAAAAGCAACCAGCTGTGCTTTTCTTGAGCAGCAGGAGTGAAACAGCTGATCTAGGCCATCGCCACCCAGGATTATTTCATTTCACTTCAAGGAAATCATAGAAACGAGTTGGATTTGCATGGAAAAGAAGCAGCGTTGGAAAGAACAGCGTATCTCATGCTATTGTTTGGATGATTTTTCACTTGTTTTCTAAAAAAATGAATCAACACCAGATCTAGTGATTCTTTTAAGGTGGATGTCTTGGACTCAGATTGGGCAGAGACACCATGTTTCTATGCACCTCTTCTCATATTTATGTGCTTCCATTGTAAATGCCGCTGAACAGAAATTCTGCCTTCGCCTGTACACACACACACACACACACACACACGCGTAAACACACAATAGAGGACACACATTTCAGCTTAGAAATGGTCCCTTTTTATAACAGCGTTGGAAATCGCTTATAGCTGTCTGGCTGACAAGTGTGTTGATTTGGATAGATACGGCATTGTGAGAGGCAGAGTAGCGAACAAGTGCGAGGGAAGGCGTCTTTCTCTTCCTCTCTATCTCTTTTTCTTTGGAGTAGCGTTTTGCCAGGAGGAGAAGCCAAGTTGTTTGCCTGATCGTTCCGTCTCCCCCTCACAAAGGCTGATGTGACTGCAGGGCCTTTCAATGGGCAAAGAGACAAGAGCTTTATCTGAAGATCCACTTCTCCACCTCCTCTCCCTCTCCCTCTCCTTTCTTGGTCGTTTTGGTGAAAGCCTGTTAGCTCCGGTGTGTTGAAGGAAAGCAGCATCGGCTTCTGTTCCCCTCTCAGAGCTGTTGGCTGCTCCGATCACACAACCTCCATCACTGCTCGACTTCTCATCTCAATTCAGGAACTTTACTGGCATGACATGTTTTTATCAGAAACATAATTGTCAAAGTGTGACGTCCAAATTAGCAAACGCCAACACTCACGTACATCCAGCTGTTTACACAAACTATATAGAGATGAAAGATTACAGGGCTGAAAAGCATAAAACAGACAGAAATCTGACACAATATCAGATGTAATGTGCCAACGTTTTGATCTCACAGAGATTTTCATCAGGCTTTGTCGGGTAAACAAAGTAGAACATGCGATATAGAGACGGGTGGCAAATCTGTATGTACAGTATATACACAAACACTCATTACTCAGGTGGTTGTGATCTGCATAATTAAAAATCAAAACTAAACTAAGCAAAGCTGTGCTGGAAAACGAGACCAAAAATGATCCTCTGTAATACAGAAGATACAACAGCAAACACCGTTGAGCCTCATGCAAGAACATGTGTTTGATTTAATAATTATAATCTCAGTAAATTTGTAGTTTAAACATGAAAGCAACATCAGCTAAAATAAAAAGTATAGCATCATCATAACAGCTTGCTTGAGAGATTTTTTTTTAGATTTTACTGCGGTATTTTGGCACATCAACTTCAGTTTAGGATTAAAATTCAGAAAGATTCTTACATGAAGCCCATTAAATTCACTACATTGGAAAACTTTCATTGAAATACACAAGTTACATAAATTAAAGTGTGACTAATGAAATACAGTTGGGAGAAGTAGAATTCAAATAAAATATTTATAGTTCTTTTTTGCTCCAAAATAATAAAAAAACACTGTACAATAGCAAATGTAACCATTAGAACCTAATGTTGTCGTGCATTTGACCTGGTGTTTGTTTACTCTCATGCTTGTGTTGTTTACTTTCCCTCAGGGTTTTTTTTTTTTCTAACAATATGAACACAACGTACAGCATGTTTCCCTCACCGACGGTTTGAACTTCTGATTTTAGTTTGTTTTACTATCATGACATGTAAATATATCTGGGTTGCCAAAACACATACTGTCTCTTTAAAAGAAGATTTCACAGCTTTTTAACACTTGACAAGCAACAAAATAACACAAAATAACAATTCTGCAAAAAGGTAAGTCAGGACATGGACACAAAAAAAATACTTGTGTGTCATCAATGACTAAAACATGAAAAGTTGAATACTTAATTTAGGCACCTAAAGAAAAAAAGTGGGTAAAGAAAACGACAAACTGGTAAATGGAAACTGCTCTCACTCATTGTTTTCCCTCTTTGTGTTTGTGTGTCTTAGAAGATCCTCTGAGAGGCAGAAACGGTGTGTTGTTTGGTTCGAGCCTCGGGGACAGACAGACAGAGAGGAACCAGAGTGCAACAGGACCTTCGTTCCTCGACACTCCCACGACACAGTAAGTCAAATAGACTGTGTGGTGTTGTTTTTTTGTGATACACGTTTCTCTATACAGAGCTGTAGGGATGACGTTTACTTGTAGGCCAACCCAACTGTTAGCATCATCCTAGTTCCCTTGATAAAAAGCCAGAGGTATTTTTCAATTAGATTTTAAATTATTGCAGAAAATAAGCTCTGTGACAAACAAATGTTTATGGTACATGTGTTGTTCAGCAAGATGATCAAATGATCACCACCTTTAGGATATATTAAAAATGTAAATTCAATTGCCAGAAGTAAAAAGCTAATGTTAGCCTATTAACAAACTACACCTCAGTCGCATGACCTAATGTCACGTGATGATCCCCTGTAGTTTCATTTAGCCACTTGAAAGCAACCACCTTATTTAAGACACGTAAAAGCTTCAAAATGTGCGGGTGGGGTATTTACTGACTTATTTTATGTCGTAGAACAAAACGTGAGAATCGCTTAAGCCATATTTCAGACACCCTACCAAAAACCCTTAAAAACAAAAACCCATTGACTTCGTGATGAGGAAGCCAGAGGTGCAAAGGCTAACTCGTCTGGGTTTTAGGACTCAATCCTGCAGCACTATATTTCTTTAAACCTTCATCAACTGATTTTTTGGCCACCAACAATGACATATCGTCATGTTTGTAACTTGTTAACAAACTGTCACTTACTTACCCATCCAGCAGTTACAGAGCAACATTATCATTCGTTTATAGTTGTATGCGTGTCCAGCTGATGAATGTAAGTCCAATATTCATTCTCTTTTAGCTCTGTTTTTGGTCACTATGATCTCCTGAGAAAAATATGTGGCTCTTCAGCTGCTAAATGTGCCACTACATTCACCAGCTAGTCTCTAACTGTGTCTGTCTGCTGTTTGATGCTGGGCAGGTAATGTACAGGGGTTTTATATTTTCTATACGAGTTGTGAGAGTGAACCAAACCAGTAACCAGCTAAACAGTAAGATGAAACCACTTTACCATTGTCACATTTGGTTCATTCTTATTAAAAAAATACTCAGCAGCTGTAAATAAAACAATATACTTATCTTTATTACTACACGCTATAAATGAAGCCCCTGGCAGATTTTGTGTGCGGAGGATTCTCTGTTTTACTTCTAGACGTACTCGTCATCCCCTGTCCCGCAGTGATTCACCATTGTCTGTGTATGAATTGTATGAGAGCGTCTGTGGCCAAATGACCCAGCTGCAGCCTAAAAGCCTTCACTCCCAGTGACATTTCAAATGTCAAAGCCACATCAGTTCCGGGTCTTACGTTTCCAGCCATCCCAAAGCTGAACCCGGAGCCACATTTAAAACTCCAACGGAGTCCATTTTCACCACGGTTCAGTCTCCGGAGTGCCGACGAAAACTCACTGTTACAGAGTGATTGTTTAATACACTCGTCTACATGAATGACATGTTGAAACAGCGTGACTAAAGACACACTGAAAGCATCCCTCTCTTTGTCCCGGCCTGTCTCACACACACACACAAACAGATACATACAAATATAGCCATCCACGTCTCTATTATTGTGGGATGGGGTGGTGGGAGGGAAGTGATGGAGGGGCATTCCTTGTCATACACCAACTAACATATTGGAGTATTTATATGGGATTTGTGTGCATTAGATAAAAAGGCGCTCTTGTTCTTTTCATCCTCATAGGCTTTTCATGGCTGTTTGACTGTAACACTGATGACTCTCTGCACCCCCCCCACCTCCAACCCCTCCACTCTGCGTTTCTCTAAGCCCCCTCCATCCATCCCAAATCCCTTCCTATCAGCCAATTTAAACAAGCTGGGTCCAGAGAGAGAGAGTGAGAGAGGGGAAGAGACGGAGAGAGATGCTCTGTCCTAAGCTCTTTTTAAAAACAGTAAAAGGAGCGAGAGGAGAAAAAAAGAGTGGTAAAGAGGGTTAGGGCGATTTGGCAACCAAAAGCCCGGTCGTACTACCCCAGGTCTTCCCCTGCACCGCTGACAGAGGCTAAGAAAGCAGATCCCCAAACCTCCCAAAAGATAATAGCCACAGAGAGAAAGAGACAAAAGCCTCTGCCTTTTTTTATTCCACAATTTCCCCCCTCCTTTAGAACAATTTTTTTATATTGAACCCCCTCCGTTTTTTGTAATCTGGTCTCCGATGAAGTTTCATTGTTTCTCATGTGAAGCCAATGACAGCTTAGCTGAGATGGAGTAGGGGAGGCATTGTAGCGCGGGCGTTCTCCCGTTTGGCTCGCTGAGAAAAGAGCAGAGAAAAAGAGGGAGGCGAGCACAATGGCAGTTTGGGGGCTCCTTGCCGGTTCCCGCATTCCCCAAATCCGACTCTGCGCGGAGAAGTGAGAGAGAGAACGAGACGGGAATCTGGGAAGCATCCCAACGTTCCTTTGATGGCTGCTGGCCTCTCTCACTCATCACGTACTCCTCTGTCAGTGGAGGAAGGAGAATGCAGGCTATTTTTGTTTTTGCTTAGTGTAGGCCAAAGTCATACTGAGCTGAGCCTTTATATTAGAAAAATTAATTTTCAGTTTTTATGTGTTTATTTGATATTCATGTCCAGAAACTGCGAGCTGAAAGAGTTCAGTATCTCGATCCTGAAGCACCAAGGCCTCTGACACACACATGACAACGTACATCGATGCGCTGTCCAGATGGAGAGTAAAGACTACCACCACTGCACACAGACCTTTGGTTTGCACTGTTTACGGCTGCTCCAATCGGTCAAATTGGGAAAAAACAAGGGCCACTTTAAGTCCCAAAAATAGTATGACACAGAGAGAAGTAAAGTTAAAAAAAAAACTCAGAGAAACAGCAACAGATGTGGATCGCAAACCTCCGTCTTCAGTCTGAAATTACAGTATGCTGTGACAACTTCTCCGTGTTTTTAGCCAAGACCCAAATTTTTTACCAGCGTGTCACTGGACCTCTGGGAACAGTTGACTTAGTAGGTAGAAACTAGTAGCTAAAGTTAGCTTTAGCATTAGCTAGTAATGTTAGCTGGGTCCATGTCATTGGTTCGACAGCCCATTGGTTCAACATCCCATTAGTCCGACTGTCCGCGGTGCTGAACGGCTCGCGGAGGGCGTATGGTGTGCCGCAACCGGCTTGAGGCGGAGCAGGCTCACGGCTTATGTGTTTGCCACTTTCTTTTTCATTTTAACCCACACCATGATCTTTTCCTGACCCTAACCAAGTGGTTTTTGTGCCTAAACCTAACCAGACCTTAACCACAGGGCATCATGATGATTTCGGAACGGACTTAGGAACAATGAGTTTAATATGGTCAGAACAATGGGATGTCGAACCAATGGGCAGTTCCCTGTTAGCTTGACAGCGGTGCATTCATGTACAGAGCAGTTGTTTAAATCGTGGACCCAACTACACACAAAATGGTTATGATCAACTAGACTCTTGTACACTTTCATCAGCTCATTGTGAAGTTAGTAACGTTAGTAACGTTATTAACATTAGGAGGTCTGGAGGACAAGGTAATGTTTAAAAATGATTGTGTCCACAAGGGGCAAATTGGTCAAGCTGTGGGGAGACCTACTGTACCTTTCCTTTTCTTTGCTTTGTATCGCTCACATTCAACTTGAGTTTAAATTTTCTGATGATACCTGCTGTCTGCAGGTTCATCCAACCCTTTTATCTAGTCAAGCTTCTTTATTTTCAGATCACACAGATTTATCACTTCCTGCCCACCATCTGAATTTCATGCGTCATAATAGTCACGTGATTACAAGCAAGCTATTGAGTTTCAGGAGCTTGTCTGTCAGGCTAAATGTTTGCTGATATCTGGCTGGAGAGATCATTGTTCGAAAAGGACGAAGCAGCCACTAATAGCTCCATGAATTGTGCATCATTTGCAGCTGCTGTCTGCCCTGTCTCAAGCTCCGAATCACAAAATAAATTGTGTCAATGATGTAACAGGGCAAACACTCTTATACAGTTTTGTAGCTGAGTGCAGTTTGCCCGTCTTTGCGTCTGATTGCAAAAACAGAAAATCTAAGATTTCAAGCTACAGGTCCTGAGTGACAAAGTGCAGAGGCATCCCTTAAAACTTCAGGCAATTTAAACGTGACACAGAGAAACATATTTTGGATTTCATATCCCAGTCAGTCAGAGCTGTTGGTGTTTTCAAGCACACACCTTCAGACTGTAAAAGAAGATGGCATGATTTGAGACGGAGGACAAAAGAAAAATATCAGTCAGTGCCTCACAAGCTTCTCTAACGGTCAGAGGTCCATCTCAAGAACAATTTTTAAATAACGCCTCAGTTACCACCAACTCTCTGAAGACGCTAATAATTTCACTGTAACTGTGCGTGGTAATTAGCGCTGATCTTTCTGTTTCACTGTTTATGCACTGTTTATGCTCATTTGAATAGAAAGCGGCCAAATTTGCACTGAATGGATGCACGTTACCTCATTTAAATATGTGCAAATAACACAGGAGCACCAAGATGCTGTTTGCTTTGAGGCGCAGTTAGAGGTGCATTTCAGCCTCTACTGGTGCTTTGAGAATGCAGAAGCTGTGCAGTCCTTTATTGAATTCACCCAGCAAAGTTGTCTGCTGTTCGCCTACATGAGAAATGGAGGATGAGGATTTTGAGAGAACTGTCCTGTTGAGAATTGCTGTCCTTCAAATGGCAGAGTGTAATGTTAATGCATTTAGTGTATGTATTATTAATTGGAATTAGGATTCATATGTCGTGACTGCTTAATAAAATAAAGATCACACACTGATAGTGATCTTGTTCCGAGTGTTTCAGCTGATACAGTTGCTCAGGTGTTGACCCGGTTAAGTCTTCAGTCTCCCAAAGATGGTTTGAAAATTGTAATTGTAACAGAAGCAGTTTTATGTTTTGGAGAGGAGGTGAAGAGAGAAGAATCTAATCCTGCAGCCTGGTAGTTTTCATCAGAGCTGGAATCTGACTGACAAGAAACAAAATCTCTTCATATACTGTGTAAAACAAACATCCACACGTTTGATGACACTGCTGCAGAGACAACAGTTTGGCTTTTGTTCATGACAAAAAGACAGTACAGGACACACAGTGGACCATTGAAATACTGCATGTAAGTCACTGATAGACGAAGACGACAAAGACCTGCCACATTCTCCACTCACCGCAGCTCCAGTAAACCAGAGAGTGATGCATCTTGAGGTTTGACTGACAGCCTTACCTCCCAGTTTTACTTAAATGGAAAGTCATTTGTTAAACCTATTTATCTCTGCTGCAACATTTGGTGTATAGCTCAGCTAAATTCAACAAATTTACAGTATCATTGTCTCAGGTTTGTCAGAAATAAAGGAACTGAAGTAGAAGCTAAATGAGGCAGACTAGGGGACAGTTACTAAATCTAAAAGATAGACGACAGCATTTCAAAACAATGTCTGTATCATGTTCTGAGCTGTGTTTTGTGGATGTATTTTAATTGTTGATCTTTGATAAAATGCAACAGATCTCATTTTTCTTTTTATTCCTCAGTGCTGATGGGAGAGCCAATCAGAGGAGACCACAGGCAGAGAGCATACGTGTGACCGTGAGCCCAGATGTGTTCAGGACACTGAGACAAACAGGTCTGTGTGTCTGTCACATTTTAAGCAGCTGTATCTCTGTTGTGTCTGTGAAGAGTTATCTAATGCTGGAGATTAACCTCACTCTGTTAAAAGAATCACAGGAATGTAAATGAGCTGCGTTTAAGCCGAAGATTAATGACTCGCTGCTTCAGAACGATCTTTGGAGAAATCTGATAAACAAGAGAAATGTAGAAGTTTGTTCATGAAGCTTCAGGTTTCATCGATGTTAATGACGAGCCGAAACATCAGGTCTTTCCTCAGCCGTCCTGCTGATGTGTGTCGCAGATGATTAGAGGGAAACTTCACAGATTTTATACAACAAAGTCTGTTTACAAGTCATTTGTGGCTCCAGAGTGATGTCACTTGAGTCAGTGCTTGTTGGGTCTGAAGACTCCAAGTTTGAAATGAAATCTGTTGGTGTGGAGTTAGAAAGAAGTGAGTTTATGAGACCTGTAGCTCGCTCCTCATGTCCATTTGAGGCAAGCAACTGGAGGCTACATTAGCCGCTACTGGTATAATGCACCTGTATCTCCCACCAAAGCGTAGGTGGTCAAGTTGCATTGTGGGTAATGTAGGCATCAGGTTGTAACAAAGGAAGAACAGTTCGTGGATTTAAACAAAAAAGACAATATCTCTGATTTTACTGCATTGATTTTAATCCTTTAAAAAAAATTCTGTCCATCACGAGTCCAACAATGTTAAAGACGTTTAATGATGAACAAGGCAAAGTCCCTCCCCTGTATTATTGTCCTACATGGGGATTTATCTCACAGAAAATATGTGCAGAGAGAGACAAATCATTTTTGGATTCTGTGTGAATTGTGCCATGAATCACAATTTTTTTACAGATGGCAGACAAATCTGAAGGCCATCCTCCATTTTGACAGATAAGAAAATTTAGGGTGATCTACCGTAACTTTAAGTGATTTAAATCCCTGTCCACTTGGTCACATGTGCATATCAATCAGTTATTGTCTAGTCTTGTTTTTGACCTCACGTGCATGACTTCATTATCTAGCTGGCTTTAACCATCAGGCTAGGCTATAGGCTATATATCTACATACCATTGCAAAATGTTACAGCAGCTGAGTGTGTGCAGGGTCTTTGTGTGGTGGGTGTCTGTTCATCTTTTCTTTCCAATCGTTAGTGAACTACATCTCTCATCTTGCACAATTCAGGTCACCAACACTAGCCTGCTAGCTGCGAGGTGTCTTGGCTACGTTTCACACACCAATGTAACATTATTTCACCTGATGCTGCTGCATTCTATCTAGCATCTCCTGGTCTTTTTATCAGCCTTAAAGCAAAAGAATGACCAACACCTGTTGCTAGTGTGAGAACATCCCAAGTACAAAACACACGGACATTGTAGCTTCAGCGAGAGCGAAAGCAATGACGTCACTTGCACAATTTATGTAGTCTTTCTAGTTACTTTTTTATACTTAAACAGTTTTACAACAAACTACAGCTTTCTTCACTTGCAAAATTACCTTTTGAATAATTCAACGTATGTGTAATTTGTGGCACAATTCAAATGGGATCGAAAAATTAGGTAAGGTCAATTTCAATTTCAATTTCAGATACAGACAGTAGTCATGAGTACAACCAAACAGACAGTCCAATACATAACACACAGAATCCAGTATCGCACACTGTCAGGGGTAAAATCATGGACAATTTGTGGTCACTGCTGGTTAAGAAAAGCAATAGCCTTTGATTACTGTACATATTTTTCTAAAATAAGGTCTCATAGTGGCCCACTGGGGGCGGAGGGACTTCACCTCTCTATTGGAGGAGTTCTCTTTTAAAGATTTGTGTGCAGTCCACTTTCTTCTAATTCAAAGACGTACCTTTGCCTTTACCACCTTGTTACATAATTATCCTCTTATAGCTTTAAAATTAAAAGTTTCATTTCAATATCTAAAATCAATACTTGGTGGGAAGTACTGTATCTTTGGTGGTTTCACAGCAGACAAACCTAAAAAATCGGTCCATTAAAAATCAGCCAACATACCTGTGAAAAACAGCCCTAGCACACAATATTTTCTTCAGGAATGAACTCTGCATCCACACCAACGTTAGTCACACCTGCCCAAACTTGAAATGCGTTGAATTAAAGAAACATCTCCACTCTGCTTCCTTACAACTTTAAACAAATCCTCTGTTGCTCTTCGTTCTCCCTACACGACACCTGTTCGCCCCGTCATCAGTAACAGCTGACAGAGAGAATCGGCCTATTGTATTAAACCTCATCACGTTCAACACTTGAGTTTCAGGGTCACGTTTTTAAACCCTATAAAGATTCTCCAGCGACAGTCAGCCTGTTTTATTCTCTAAATGTAGCCCGAGCGCTCTCCGTTCCTCAGTCTCACATGTCTGAGATGACTAACTGGTCATTTAGGAAAAACACCCATTAAGAAAACACCACTACTTCTTCTGTACTTCCACATCTCCTCCTTCCTGCTCTCTCCATTTTAATAATTCCATTTTTCGGGTGATTAGCAATTGTCTCGCTATCAAATCGCTCTGTCACTTGATAATCCGGACTGTAGGCTATTGGAGAGAATTTGCATCAGCTTTTTAAATATCTGTATACGGCACGCCGGGGTTTTAATGTCAATCATAACCTTATTAACGCAGGGCTCAGAGCGAGAGAGATCGCCATGAGTGACAACGGTTTACTTTCGTTAAAACCCAGAAAAAGGCGACATGTCCGACCTACTGAGTGAGCATGTAACCTGTTCAGGCATTCAGCCGTGCGCGTGTGTCTGTGTTTATGTGCTGTAGGGCTGCCGTGTGTGATTATGCATGTCTAATGTTTTGGTTGTTGTACTTGTTTAAAGTGTCACGGCTGGTTTACAGGAAGCTCTCTGACATCCTCCAACATCTCCTGTCATTTCATTTTGTTGTGCAGGGAGCAGTGAAGGTGACAGAGACGGCAGGAATGTGAGTTGATTGACCGGAAATTGATTCTGATTTTCATTTCTGTTGACAGAATTTACAAGGCTGTGAAAAGTTATCTAGAATCATACGATTAATCCTTAGCCAATAGTTTTGTAGTAATGTTATGTAACAGCAGTATAGTACAGTATGTTTATATGCCAACACTTTACTTTTAATCCCTCCTCTATTCAGTATTTATAAGCACTACATTAACATTTATGGATGTTTATAACACACTCCATGTCCATCTTCAGTCTGACATATCCTCCCCTCTGTTACCCCTTCCCTAGCAAATGTGGTATGTGTCCATGGGTTTTTTTAAACAGGGGAATACAAGCTAAAATAAGGCTATAGACTACTTTCTCATTGTCAGTAGGCTAGAGCTGTGCACACGGCTCTGCAGCCAACATGGACTCACTCCAAAGTCGTCAAAATCCAGCGCTTAGGCAGTGACTTGTGGCGTCAGACACTGGCGAAAAAAGCCGTCCTTTAACGTTGGCATGATACGTGGCCGGTAGCCAGTTATAGTGTAACAGTGCTCAGCGGCATCAGGGGGACACACGGCGGGACAAGAATGAAAGTTAAGGCGGCGAAAGTCCGAGTAGGCCAGGCGGGAGTGGTGGTGGATGGGTCCAGCAAACACCAGGTTTCACACAGGAGAGCGCCGTTCGTGTGCTGTAAGATTCTAAAACCAAACCTTGTTCTTTTTTCCTAAACCTTACCACATGCTTTTGTTGCCTAAACGCAACCACATGCGTTAGTTGTTGGAGGAACAAAAACGTCATTTTGCAGTGTTATACCGATGTAGTGTGTTTATCTCTAAAGAGACTGTATGTCAACAGCAAATTTCCTGTGAAATGGAAATGTATCTTGAAAGAAGACAATGCATGTAACAGGCAGAACTTGACATGGTGTCCCAGAACGTCAACAACCAACACACCCAGGGTACCTTGCACGTCATATCTGGACGTGGAAAGTCCATGACCAAATGTCAATATGTGATGAGATCGGAGTGAGAATGTTTTGCTGCAGCAGACAAGCATGCCTTTCCGGGGTTTTTTTAAACTGGTGTGTCACGTTCAATGCATTCTCGGTGTCGCTGTCGCTGTCTGCCGGAAGTCAGACGGCGAATACAGCCTCTGGGGGCAGACCCCCGATTTTTTGGCATTCTGGTTTGATTTGGGCGGAGGAGGTGAATTTCCGTTTCCAACTTCCGTTTATATATAAGTAAATATGCTGAACCATTGCGATGGATTCAGAGTTTGCAGTGACGCCAATTATGTTCCACCTCGTTAGTTCACCGCACGGCACGGCAACAACTGCAGCAGGTTCAAACGTGATTGGTCAATATCACGCGGACTACAAACAGCCTATAACCGGAAACCAGGGCTCTTCCGCTCTTCTTCCAGAGGCAAGATCTCCGGGGTTTGCCTACAGACTCTAAATTCACTGAATGTAGAGTCTGTATATAGAGACTACGTTCAACATCACGGGCAGGCTGGAAAACAGGTTTGTACAGTAGAGAGCAGCATGGAGGCCACCGAAAATGTGACAGTGGCTACTTCTTTTAATGTATCCCTTACTCATTCAGTGTCTCTTTCAAACTTGGTTGATGTTTGAGCGCTGCTTGAGCACAGACAGGCGGTATTTTGTGGTGGCGCATCATTGCATCAACCGGTTGTTGTGTTTCCATTCGTGCCGATCAGAGCCAGAACCGATAAATATCCGTGACTGCTGCAGAGTCATTTGACCTAGGTATGAATGCCGAATGTAACCTTTCCTGTTACAAAGAAAGCCAGATGTTAGCAGGGTTTTTTGTGTGGTGGGAAAGGGGCTTAACTGATTTCCGTGGGGGAGTGGGATTTAATTGAATGTAATGTAGCAAGTAAACATTAAAGGATCACAAGCAAATAAAAGATTGTGAATCACTGCACTATAGTTAGACAGTATTAGAGTGAAGTATCTAAAATCAGTGGTTCCCAACTGGTCCAGCCACAGTCTAGTCATTAGTTCAAAGTCCACACAGTTTAATACATTCAGCGTCATACTTGTGTTTGGCTATGTTGTTGAGCAAGTTTGCTGTGTCTGTCAAGTAGCTGTCTGTTAGTCACTCACTCTACAGCAGGAAACAGCACCTCAAAATAAAAGCTCTGTGCTGGAAATTCACTGTACTTAAAAAATAAAGTGTGTTTTTTACAAAATTGACATGTTCGTGGGTCACTTGTGGTCCATACTGAATGGACCCTTGACCCACCCTTGAACCGTAACTCACCACTTGGGAACCACTGTCTCATATGATACCATAGCATACTACAGTATACTGTTTAGAGCTGAGACGGTCTGTCGAATTATTGATTAGTTGATCAAAATAAAATTACCACAGACAATTTAAAAAAGTGGATTTTATTGGTTTTAGTCATTTTTTTAAGCAAAAAAATAGCTGGTTTCAGATTCTTAATTTTGAAGACTTGCTTCTCTTTTATCATATATGATAATTAATTAGATATGTTCAGTTTTTTATCTGTTGATTGGATAAAAAAGGCAAGTTAACCCTCCGACTGTCTTCCCATCCTGCTGGGTCAAAATTGACCTGGTTTGATTTGATTGTTTATAAAGCACAAAGTATAAATTATCACCCACTTCTCAGAATTATTTTCTCAATTAATCACTTCATTCATAAAACATCATTAGTGAAAACAGTGAAAAACTCACATCACAACTTCACAGAGCCCAAAGTGACATCCTTAAACACTTTACTGTCCTCAACCTCATATCACCTAAACAATAAATGATGCTGAAGGGTTCAAGACTATGTAATTAACCTATCAGTGTAACCCTGAAGTTAACATTTTGTCTTTCCTGCGTTTGTCAGTGCCGCTTCAAGGTGTGAATTTGGATAAAAAGGACATGGTGCAGGATCAGATCATTATCAGCTGAGGAACAGGAAGCTTTATAGGAAGGAATAAGAGGCTCTATGTGTTGTCAAGCAGCTGTCTTTATATTTTCCACTGTTTATTCAGGTTTATAAACTTACTGTGTTTTTTTCTGTCTCTCTCAGGATGATGACGATCTTGGGACGCTTCATGTGGTCCATTTAGGAATGGTTTGAATAAACAAACTGGCATACGATAAGAGACACAAACACACCTCACCAATAACAGGCTCTCTTCATCTATATTGTCAAATGCAAAGTAGTTACTTCCCTGTAATATCACCTGGAGAGGGGCTCATATCATTGTACAGAACAGTAAATTGACAGTGATTGTAAAGATGTCTGATAAAAGTGGAATTATACATTAGTGTTACACATGAATACATTAGTTTTGCACCACTTTTGTCAGTGAGTTGTACATTTTAAATTGCGAAACCAAAGGCCTTCATGTTTTAGACTGTTTATCTGTGAAATTTAGATGTGAGATCAGGTTGTTTTCTGTCTCAGTGAAGTCTAAACCAACTGAACGTTAAAGGGAAACACTTACACCAGCTCCTGCTTTTAAAGACATGCCTGAAAATGTTTTAAACCTTTCCATTAATCAGCCTGCAAAAATAAAGACTTGTATTATACTTCCATCACCACTGATATTGAATGTTCCAGGCTTCCTCTGTGTGTGTGCGTGTGCGTGTGTTTGCTATTGTGTGTGTGTGTGTGTGTGTGTTGGCCGAGATTACGGGCCACAGTTTTATTCATGAATAGGAGCCAACCAGCGTCTTTAAAGCATCGCGCGGAGCCCCTTTCCTGAACAGCAGCCATAGCCGTGTCAGAGCTGTCGACGCGCTGCGCTCACCGACTAATCTGACAGCGCCGCGCGAGCCCTAATCCCTCACTGTATCGTAATCTATTTACTTTGCATTCTAAGAGGATTTCCACCAAAAAATATACAAGAAGCGATGTTGGAAATGGACAGAAGATCAGCGAGGATGCTTTTCTGCTCCTTTTTTTTTGTTTTGTTAGCTTTAAAAAAATCATTGTATGTTTTTTGGGGAGTCAATCCCCTGCGAGAGGGATGGGTGAAAGGAATTACATTTCTGACTGATACTAATACTTCTGTTATGTAAACATCAAAATGTTATATTTCCCTTCTGATGATACAGTCACACTGCAGAGGCAGCTGGAGATAAGTGGCATCTGTCGATGCCTTTAGTGCATCTCTTGACACGTTTATAATTTACAAACCAAGGCTGCATTATCTCCTGATTGTCTGACTTGACAGCTCGAATAAAAGCTGCAAAATTGCTTAACAGGCAAGCACGAGTTCCTCCCATCCCTCTGATGGCCTACACAGTAGCCTTTTTGACATGCAAACAGTGAAATCTCCTCTTTCATAATACAGAAAACAAAGTACGAGACCAAACGCTCTCCTCAGTTACCCTTTAAGCAATTATGTCAGCTTTGTAAAATCATAAATAGTTATGCTTCATTTAAAATGTGGCCAGCAGCTGTATTGTAAAACACCGCCTCACACTCAAATCTTTGCCATCCGAGATGACTCGCAGAGATAGGCTTATTAGTGGTATTAACATACTGCGCGGCACGCTGGAGCTGTGAAACGGCCTTGTTAACATTTGGAAATGAATCAAGCCTCAGGCACTCGCTATTATCCAGGTTATCTGTTGTTTGATTCTCTCCTCTGTGCAACAGCTGTGCAGAGTTTCTGCGGAGGCCGTATCACATCTAATGATGGCTCTGATTGGACTGATGCCGCTCCCCCTCAGGGGGGATGTTGTATGTTTTATAGGTTCGTCTCACTGATCACCACGAGCCAGATCCCCCAAAATATTATAGACACATATGTCAGGACCATTAAAGACATCAAAGAGACAGAATTACTTACAACTAAAAGAGGGTAATTGGAAGGATCTTATTCCCAGGAAAAATTACAGAACAGTGTTGAGTTTCTCTCAGTTATCAGTTCTCAAGTTGGTGAATGAGACGTACTTTGCATACTACAATTTTTTCATCAAGAAAAGTACTTAATTACAGTGCAACGTATCTGTATTAAATATCTGTTTTTGCTTCCTGAAAAAGCCTCTGAGACAAAAAGCATTATAATTTGATACTTGCTGATTAAAACAAGCTCAGATTGAGGTCAGACAGAAACAGACGGACTCTGCTGAGATTAAAGTTAAGATAAATGTTATATTCGTGGTCAACTTTTGGTCAAATATTCTTAACACTAATGTCAGGTGGGTGTCCAGGAGACACCGGACCCTGTTTTACACTGTTTTATCAGACTGATTCTTCCTGACTGTGACTGATTTTATGAGAATTTCTTTGATTTTGAGCTGATGACATGTTTAAGAAGTCTGCGACCGAACATTTTCATTACTTCTTTTCGGGGTTTCGGAGACCCTGTCTGTAAAACATGGTTTTCATGTGCTGTATGTCTGTTATGCTGTTGACAACACTTTCTACCCTAAAGGTTTGTGAGGATATCTGTAATTTGATTCATAACAGCCCCTCAAAATAAGCATCACTGTGTAGAATAATAAACTGCACATTTATTTGTCTTTTAAATGACTTTTTGGTAACAAAATAAATGTATATTTTCTCATGCGTAGTGCATATAACTTAAAAAACATGACTCTTTTTTTTTTGGGGGGGGGGGGGGGGGGGGGGGGGGGGGGGGGATATAACAATGCTTTATGTTCATTTGCATGTTTTGTCACATTCATCAAATGTGCAAGCCCACTTAAGGTAAGGGTTAACTTTAATACTTTTCTACATATTGTGTTTTAATAAGGTCATATAAAGTATTTAAAGCAGGAAAATGGTTAATTTTGCACTTTTTAATCATTATTTCTGCATTTAAACAAACAATACATAATGATTTATTTAATGTGCAGCTTACTGAAATTAAAAATATTTGCAAATTAATTCATTTTTCAGATTTTTAAAGGTTTATTCCCATTTCCCTACAGAGGCAAACCTGTGATTTTATGTTTGAAAGGTCAAAGGTCAGGTGTTATGTTTACATGTATTAATATTCTGTGTACTAACATGCTGCACATCAGTCTACAGATGCAGACACAGTGTTTCTGAGTAGCTGCCCTCTGGCTCCATGTGTGTGGAGAGGAATTAGTCAGTGAAGTACAAACTGAAAGGAGGAAATGTGACCAACACGTCAGACGGCAATCTATTGACACACGGAGACGACGTCCTTGGTGGGAAACACTGAAGCCTGCAGGCCAACAAGCCTCCATTAAGCTTTCCCACGTCTGCAGGTCTTAAAAGAGGACAAGTTGCGACTTGGGACGAGGGTCTGCCGCATCCTTTCCAGATGAGATAATACGAGCCTTCCTCAAATACCTCTCCGCTCCGTCCCTCCTTACCCAGAATGCATCTGAGTCACGAAGAACGGGAGAAGTGAGGACGTCGTCAGGAGAAGCATCTAAAGTCAGATGTGAAGGGAGTCGTTCTGTCCAGAGAAACCAAAGCTCACCCTGAGCTGCTTTCACCAGTAAACTGTTGTATGATTTCCCATCAGCTACGTCAAAGAAGGAAGGAAGTGCTTGACTGCTCCACTGACCTCAGATCAGCTGCTGAACAAAAGCTGATAAACTGTCAAAGAACTGTGTTGAATTTGGGGAGTTTGGCCCTCTGATCAGAAACCTGATAAACTGATGACACACTTTGTTGATGTTTAGTGCTAATTAGAAAATGTGAGCATGCTAACACACTAAACCAAGATGTTGAAAAAGGAAAACTTTACATTAACTGATTAATCAATTTAAGATCATTAGTTTAAAATGCCAATCACAACAGGATATTATCAAATGCCTTGTTTCATCCAAATCCCCAAAATATTAAATTTTCTGTAATGTTCAGATGATGGGAAAAAAAGCTCAAAACAAACTTGGAAACAGGAAAATGTTGAGATTGTTTTTTACTAGCTAAAATGATTAATCGATCAAAACTAGTCGCCGATTGATTTTCTGTAGATCAAATCGTTCTTTAATTGTTTAATTGTTGTAGCTCTTTTTGTTATCGTTAGCATGTTAGAAGCTAATATTAGCATTAACGTTTGTATTTACCTGCCTCATGGAGCAGCTAGCTTTTCTTTCTACAAAAATGTTCTATTCTTCTGCTGTGTGTGTGTTTTGTTCTTAAGTAGTGCAGTGCCCGTTCAAATCATGCCTGTCTGAATGGCCTGATAGTTCGGGTTGTGATATTGCTGCATGTTGTTTATCGAAAACCGTTCATTCAAACAGCTTCACACTCGATATTGCCCTTCCTTTGCTTCTGAGCGATACAGCTGCTTTGACATAGACGCGTCCCCTGGCAATGCTAGAGTGTACGCATCATTTACTAACAGCTAGCTATTTGGGAACAGATGCATTCAATCTGAAAGTTACATCGCTGATCTTTTAAGTGTTTAATTAGAGTGGAATTTCTAACTTTGATACAATATCTTGAAAAACATTTGATATTCAACAATATTTTCAATACCATGGGAAAACCTGACATTGACGGCAATTTAGATTTTTTATTAAAAGATGAACACAGCAAGGCTAAAACATGACGACAACTTGTCTTTCCTTGGTCATATGCAGAGAACAGCAGAATGACTGATAAGAGAAGGCAAAAAAGCGTAGCCGGTACCGTTGTATCAATACAGCTGAATATTCAGAATGGATATGTATCTGTAAATCAATGTTTTGCCAGTATTACCACAGTGTAACATCTCCAGTCTCTCCGTCTTCATCTGTTCTTGGATGTACTGTAGCGATCGATAAAAAGCAAGCTGTACCCAGCATGCCATTCGACGGTGTCCCCTCTCAATACACTACACAGTGTGTGCATAACATACTACTAATGACTATGTCCTGTAGATCTCAAGAGCTCGCCTTGGGTCCTCAGCTATACACACACCAAGTGTGAAGTCGATCAGATGAATGGTTGTCGAGAAAATTGAAGGACAGACGGACAGAGACTTCTTCCATTTTAGTTAGATTGTTTGTCTTTTTTACAAAGCATGTCAGGGTTATACGTGGTCATAGCCATACGGTATGTGAGCCCTGGCAAACAGAGTGACCAGAGCGGTCTCTATTTGACAAGTAGAGAGGTGACCGAACCTTCATCACATCTCAGGTCAGGTGACCAGTGGGCCAAATCCCCCCCAAAACTCATTCTTTAACTCCACTGGTGTGGAGTCAGGAGTTTGCCTCCAGAAGGAGATAAAAGACAACATCGTCCTGCCTGTGCTCTGCTCAACTTAAATCTACAGTATGTAAACCCACGAGGAATTTCATGAATGCTGTCAGTGCCCTGTGTCGGAGGGATGACTAAGCTGCTTTCACTCCACCAGCTCCACCTGGACTCGACTGTGAAATCCGCTCATAGGAACCAAATGGTACCGTCTTTGAGTTTGGATTCAAGCGACTGTCGATGGCTTTATTATGTGTATATGTTGGACCAGGAAACACTTTAAAATCTACAAAACGGACTGCAACCACCAGCGTTATGTGCCCACACTTGATGTTAAACAAAATTCAAGAAGAAGTCTTTTCTGACAAAGCAGAGAAACCTGAGACATTGCTCCGGACTCCGCCCACGTCGGTGTACAGTTGACCCCAGATTAACCTCCCAGGTAAATATAATCCTCCTCTGTATCACCTCTCACTCCTCATACCGGCCTATGAACACACGGGGATGCCAAGGTCTGGCGACAGTCGGCAGCCAATGAAAGACGAGTGTGAGTTTTTCTTTTCCTGTCCTGCATGGAAATAGAAGAAAACAGTCCCAGCATGCAGGCTGCTATCAGCGCATCTGCTGTCCCTTCCAGACTCTTCTCTCTCTCTCACACACACACACACTTTAACTCATCGAGGCCTGCGAGGTCTCACACACCAAAGTTTCTGTCTGTCTTTATCTGTCACTGTCTGTCTCTGTTTCTAGATACAAATCACAACCACTCATGCAAAGACAAAAAAAAAAAGGTCCAGCTCGGTTCCAGTTCATCTCCTGGACAAGTGTGAACAAAATGTCAACAGTTTCCAGTCCACCCACATTCACACACACCTCTCACCGGAGCAGGCGAGAGGCCAAAAGGTCAACAGTTGACAACAGGCGACGCTCTGCAATCGATTGTCCTATTGAACAGTGTGAAGACCCTCAGCTCAGGTTGAAACGACACACTCATACACACACAAGTGTTAAAGTGATGAACTGCTCCAGTAATGTGCTTTTTTATTAAGTGACGGACTTTCCTTGAATGGAGCTGCAGAAATCCTTGTATGTATCTCTTTAATTTTTCAACCTTGGCTCCTAATTTTAACACTTTGACATTTTAGAGGCTTTAATGAAATGCTGATAAAAGAATATTATCAATTTCAAAGATTTACGACATTGTTTATAAGTCACTAGTGTCCCTAAAAGCATGCTGGTTGAGCTCTGTGTTCACCTAAAATCCTCTCAAAGCACTCCAAGAATTTGAATCTCTAAAAATCAGAAAGATGTGTCAAACAAAGACAGAAACTATTTGACTATTAGACTATATCATCAACTTATAATCACTGAAACCTTCTCTAAGGTAGAGGTGGATTTGGGTTCTTGCTCCTTTGTGCAGCTCAGACGAGGCCGTGATAAAAACACTTTGGTATCAACATATTTGGCTTTTTTTGTTTATCTGAAGAGGAAAAACAAAATTATTTGGCAAATTTAGAGAAAGTGTAGAAGGAGAGTCTGAGAACAAATAACTAATTTGGATTATCATTAACTAATAATAAAATGTTTAGTGCTTGTCTTTAAATGTCTGGCATATCAAAGAAGGTTGATAATTACAGTATGTTCAAGATTATTTAGGATTTAGATCAGTGATCATTTGAAGATACCTGTTAATTCAAGGTGTGTTTTAACACATTGGAAACATCATAGTAAACTAAAGTAAGCAGATGTGTGTGTTTGCAATAAACTAACATGGCTGCACCATTAAACATAATTTAAATTTAAAACTAAAATCAATAAAAACACATGTACAAATGAAGTGTGAATATTATGAAAGGACAAAAATATTAATTTTAAATTATTAAAATGTGGTTTTAGGTTGTTTACTTATCTAAATATGGATGTTTTTCTTTGTTGTAAAGTTTCAGCTCTTGAGAGTTTGATGATGCAAATAAATGAAATTTAAATCGATCCAAAAACAAACTAATTACAGTATTAATTATCTTGCATTTTGGGAAATATTCTCTTGTTTCCTGAAACAATACACTTCCAAATTTAACCCCAAAATAAATCTACCAGCAGCTGAAGCGTGTAACAAAGGTAAATTAAAGCGAGGCTCCTCTTTCATCCAGTTGACTAAAACAACACAGATTTACATCATTTTATGTCGTGTTTGATGACAAATAGGCGGCACGAGATTTAAATACTGAATGTAAGACACCGTTTGCTGCACAAACAGCTGCAGGAAATCGCGATGAGAACAAAATAATTTGCCTATTGATTACGGGTGGTTGATGCGGTTACTATTTGTATTACAAGATGTTTTGTTCTCTTCAAACAAGTCGAGACGCTGTTTCACCTGCAGCTTTATGTCGCAGCTACAGCGGGTAAACAATCCTTTAAATGTTAGATTCGGTCTTATTTTTCTGCAGAAACAAAACGCTCCTCCTCCTCAGTGTAAATCTTACGTATTTCACATTAGCGCAGGATTAAATATACTTTAGCCATAACTTCTCTCATCCCCGTTTTATTCGCTCTGTATCTCCAAAATCTTCCGAAGCCTGAAATTAGTCATTATAAAAATGTGTTTCTGCTTTTATTATCATTTTACAGTGTTATTATTGAGCCAGTGTCCTGACTGCTGTAGAAAAGCACCTCCTGCATGTGTGTATGTGACACGTCGGCTGCAGCTTCACATCCTCAGAGGAAACATTAAATAACGGAGCTCTGCGCTTTTGTCAGAAACGTTTCCACCGCTCAGCCGCTGTTTGAAGGTGAGCAGCTGTCTCATGACGGACCTGTGGCTCTGTCTCCCTCTCTCTCTCCCTCTTTTCAACCATCCCACAAGATTTTTGGTCGCAAATGTTTGTTTGATGCAAATCCGAACAAATCCGCCGCTGTTGGTGGACACTCGCTGCGCTGTTTGCGCGTCTTGGCGCAAACATGTTTAATGTCCTGGTCGGCAGATATTTATTCAGCTGCTGCGGGCTTCATTTACATAAAGAGAGACAGAGAGAGGGGACAGGCTGCAGCTGAAACAGGCTCTGCACAGGCACACAGAGGCCTACAGTGGGGATTGATCAGGCTGATAATTCTGATCAGGTTGATTAGATTTGAGACAGTGGTGCGCAACATTTTTAGGCTCGTGACAATTTAAAATGCAGCAAATCAGTTGTGATCTTGAGATTTTCTCTCTGATAATGTTTCATTTTGATTTTTAGAGGCCTGAGTGGGTAAAATTATCTGAAATAGCCTATCAATAGAATATCACAGGCTGTAAAACCTCTCACATTGTTTAGTTTGGATGATTTTTAGATGCACAAAGAAGTAAAACTCTCATATCTATAAAAAAAAAAGAGCAAAATCCCACAAAAAATTAATTGTATGTTTCTTTTCTGTCTTTCAGATAAACTTTAACTTGTGACAACCTGCGACCCCTCCTCAGAAGTTTAGATCTGCCAGCAAAGAGTGAGTTTTACCCTCTCAGATTATTAATTTATTAATATCTTTAGAGGCATAAGTAAGTAAAACTGCCTCATATTTAACACGTAAAAAGCTGTGAGTAATATGTTTCCTCATCCTGAAACGAGCTGAAATGATTAGCTTATTAATCGATTAGTCAGAGAGAAAATTAACCAGCAACTATTTTTAATAATTGACTAATTGGCTGCTTTTTTGTCTTATTTAAAAAAAATAGTGGATATTTTGGTGGGTTAGATGAAGGTGTGGGAAACAGACAAAAAGACAAAACAATAATCAAGAAACTAATAATCAATCTAAGTGATTAATGTGATGGTTAGGTTAGCTGCAGCCCTCATTAGAGACACTTAATGGGTTAATTTCTGTTCAATCTTCGCATTCAGTTAAAGAAGCTCCTGTTTGTCTTAATTAAAACAACAGCGTTTCTCTTTTGGGGGGTAATTTCTTTGCACAAGGACGGTTGTTTTGATCGGGGCCATTAATTTGCATGAAACCTGTTTCTGCTGCTCTCAGTGCGGCCTTCACGGCTCAAACACGCTCGTCCAAAACAACCTTGCCAGAGAACTGATGCGATATTTTCTTTAACTCCCCCTCCTCCTCCTGTTTTATAATGCGTTTATGCCTGCGAGCACTAGACACACACACACACACACACACACTTACATCTGACCCCCTAACCTGGCCCCACCTACGTAATTACCGCATCAGAGGCGGTGAAATTCCTGCAGGTTATTTTGGAGAAACCAACTCAGGGCGCAGGAGTAATTATCACGCCATTACAGCGCTGCATTCAATTACGCCTCGATCAAATGTCTCGCGGCTCAATATTTAGGGCTTTTTAACGCCGCAGTTTAAAAAGACACTTGGTCTCCCTAAAGCGAGGGGAGATGTTAGTGTTTCAATTTAAGTCAGAGACAGAGAGGATTAAAACTGGCTGCTCTCTAAAATGGAAATGCGGGGCCTACACGCGTTCATGGCTTGTATTAATTATGGCCTAATTTGCATTTACCCCGTTATAATTAGGAAATAAACAAAATCAACAAGCTTTTAAATAAAAGTGTGACTAATTCAAATGAGAGAAAACAGCAATCTTGAGTTGGTAATTTGCTGCTGTACATGCATCTAAAGAATAAATAAATAAAAATAAAAAGTTGACTCCCTGTTGGGAACCAAAGACAGAATCCACTGTGGAAAATAAATATGACTTAACGGATCTTTATTGGATGAACATGTATGTAAGGGTGGTTCGCCTTAAAGATACATTCAACATCTTACTGTCATTTTGGAGCTATAAATCCACATTTTTCCTCTCCAAAAAATAAAAAAAAATGCTCTGACTCCATTATCAAGCCAAGTGCTGCGGTTCAAACATGTCCAATATCACGACAATGCCCAAGAGAGGAGGTCTGGTTTGAAAATGTATAGAGGTTAGAATAATAATATCCGGAAAACAAACTGTAACCTGGACGAACGCCCAGAATAGTTCTGCATCTATATTTTAGATTTTTCCCTCCAAGACATTTCAAATTGCCAAAACATTTTTAAAACAATGTATATAAAAGCTGAACTTTATGGCCAATTTGTTCTCTTTGGAATATTTGGAAAGATTTACATACAGGTTTTTCTTTTTTTTTAACTCCCAAAGTGGTAATAAACAATTTCAAATTCGGAAAAAAAAACACAAACTAAACATGGTCACTGTAACTGACCCAAATACATATTTACATATTTCAGCTCCTCGGCGCAGCTGACTAAAAATCTCTGTCATCCTAAAATAACAAATTTCAGAAATAAAAACTATACAGGATTTGATTGGGTTTGGAGGTAAAGAGGGGCACTGCAGGCAGTTCCTGTTGGTGCACCAGAGGGGAAAATATTCCTCCCATCCAGAGAGCCAGAGAGCTGGTGGTCAAAGGAGTTTGGTTGAAATGACTTTTTTTTAGTTTTGAAAAACAGTTTGGTTTTCTTAAGGTCATCCAAGAATGAGCGTCTTAAAAACCCCATTCTTCATCGTCAGGAAACTGCTCCTGATGTTTTCTCTTCATACGTAGGGACTGTTTCTTTTTTTTTTTTTTTTATAAAGACGTGGAGGACTAGAGGGAGGAAAAACAAAGTCCGATTGTTGAGCATTCCTGCTGCTATCTTGTTATCTTATGGTTCATAAACTCTTTTTGTCTTTAAAAACAAGCAATATGCTAATCTGGAAAATAAAAGAAGAAGAGGGAGTTGACGAGCAGGGAGGGAAGAAGGGGGAAAAAGCCTGATCACAAGACTTGGAACCTCCAGGAGGCCTGGTCTTTGTAGTCCAAGCAGTCTGTGGTGTTAAAGTTGAGCTTCCACGAGGAGGCTGCAGTCTGCTCTTTGTAATCCAGGCAGTCGGAGGAGTTGAAGGCCAGGCTGGAGCCGCCATAGGCCTGGTGGTGGTGGTGGTGATGGTGGTGGCCTGATGACTGGCTGATGTGGTGGTGCGGGTGGCCTGACATGGAGGAGGCCGTCATGGGGCTGAGCTGGTGGGGGTGGTGGTGGGAGTGCATGGGGGCCAGGTAAGAGCCGCAGTCCACGCCGCTGAAGTAAGAGCTGGATGGGGTGGGGTAGCCCTGGCCATAGCCCGGCGTCTGGTTGTAGGACATGGGGTAGGATGTGGCGGCGGCGGCGGAGCCTGACATTGAACGCTGCATACAGGAGGCATTAGAAGGGGGTCCTGGCTCGGGGAGCGGGGCCACTGCAGGAGCAGGAGCGTTTCCAGGGGAGATAGCGGGGCTCCAGATGGAGGAGACAGTGCTGATGGAGGTAGAGGTGCTGCTAAGCGCCGCCGGGCCCGTGTGATTGGTGGAGGAGGATGAAGATGAGGACGAGCCCGTGCTGGAGACGGCAGGAGGCGTGAACTGGCCGCTGCTCTCAGAGCCGGTGCTCTCCCTGGCCGGAGAAGACTTCTTCTTGGGCGGCCTGGCTTTGGCACTGCTGCCGCTCTGCTGCTGCTGGCGACACTTGGCCCTCCGGTTCTTGAACCACACCTACAAGCGAGAACAGCAGCCAGGAGTTAGCAACCGTACACACAAACAACCTCAGCATTTCATAAGAAAAAAAAGATACTCCCAGGCCATGCTGGGAGTACATTATGGAGGAAAATTGGGGGTTATTAGCCATCAAGGTTCATTTCCACTGCGGCCCCTTGGCTTGGACCAGCCAGGGGTCTAATTTCATACCTGGTAGACGGCTCTAAGATAACAGGCTATTGGGTTTCAGCACACAGTAGGGTAACTCTAGAGCACCGAGAGGGTAGGATCATGTAGAGCATTTTGTTTCACACACACATTCTGAGAATAACTCAAATTGTGTGAGAGCGAGAGGCCTTGGTTTTCCCCTAATGCCTTTCAAGAGTAGTATTTGTTCAACATGGTCGTACACCAGTGAGTTGTTTGTGGAGTATTTGCTGGCGTGCTCCCAACCTCTTCATTATAGATCCCATATTTCAGATCAAATTACACAGACTTCAGCTAGGTCGCATCAAATCATAATGAGAAACTGGTTCAGCTGAAAAGTAAGCTTTCCTGATCGGAAATGTAGTTTTGTTTACATCCGTGTATACAAACTGATTTATCTACCTGCATGAGATGAAGTGGTGAAGGTGAGCTAAACCAGAAACAGGTGGGTAAGAACGGATTGTAGAAATAACCACAACCATTGAACGCACCAAACACGTTAAACTGCCCCTGCTCACCGGTTAGTAACACGTTACAGTTACTTCACCAGTAACTAAACAGCTAATAAACCAGTGTGTATCATAAAAATACCAGCTATAATCCCACTATTATTGATCAATATTAATCCATACGACCGCTATTATCTCCTTTAAAAAGAGGCTTAAATCACTGAACTCAACGAACTGTAATCTATCAGGCCTAAAAATATTCTTAATATTTTCCTTAGATGTTAATTATATAATCCTCATGTTAAAGCACACAACAAAGTAGGTTTTTAGTCATATTTACGGGCATAAATACCAGGAAAAATATTTATTTTACCGGTAGCATAATTGGATTTGTCGACGATATTAGGACGATATCATTAATAGCAAGCTAGCTAACAGTTAGCTAACGTTAAACTTTAATTAGCATCAACCGGAAATGGCAACAGCAACGGTCCGTTTCTAAAATAATAACGAAAAATTAATTGCTGTAAAGAAAACAATGTTCTAATTACAAAGAGTGTCGAGAAATTAAATAATTTTGAACTAGCACACTTTTTAAATAAATAAATTATTAATTAATTTTGATTAGCCGCAGTGTAACAGCAGCTCATAGCTAAAAAAGCTAACTAGCTAAACGTTAACGTCAGTTTAAATTTAACCGTTGAAATCCTCCTTTGACCGTTTAACGTTTACAGGCCTTTAAGTTGCTGGTATTAAGTTTTACGTGTTATAATAGCATATAATAGTAAACATGTGTCTTTGTATGAAAGATGTAACCGTTTAATATTAATAACATAATTAATTAATCGTATTAAGTTCATATATAGGCTATGCAGAGTTAACCGTTGGTCCTGTCAGGTGTGTGTGTGCTTTGGGACGTTGCCACTGTTTTACCCAACACACACAGCGTGTATAAATACAGAGTTGAACATGTTTCATGTCTCACCTGGACTCTGGACTCCGGCAGGTTGATCTTCAGTGCCACCTCCTCTCGCATGAAAATATCTGGGTACCGGGTTTTGGCGAACAGAGCCTCCAGGACGTCGAGCTGAGAGCGGGTGAAGGTGGTCCGCTCCCGACGCTGCTTCCTGGGAGTCGCTGCAGAGGAGACGCCCGACACACACACACAGAGGAGGAGGAGAAAACACCAGAGAAATGTTAAATAATATAATTTTACAGACAGTATATAGCGGCATCCTTACTTAAACATGATGTCCATATTTTTTTTTTAATATTAAAAGTTTTGCTATGTGATTTTTATTGTTATGGTTATTATTAAAGTGAAAAAAAGTTTGATTCTGATGCTGTTTTCTACTGTGGAGAAATAAAGACGATTTAACTTCAACCTCTCTTTATTTTTATATTGATAAAAATCATCAGTGTTTAGTTGAAGGCCTATTAAATGTTTCTTTTTATGCCTATTAAATTAAAAAGTCGGTTACTGTTCCTTGCTGACAGAAGAAGATAAAGGCAGTTCATATTACTTTACACCATCTGAATGTGTAGCCTATTATTTCCTTTATCATGCCCATTCATGATACACATCTTACATCATACTTACACTGGTCAAATTGGTATAAAAATATATATTTTACACAGTATAAATACACTTTTGAAACTCTTATTTATCCATGAAGGCCCCCAAACACACTTATTACTATTATTACCAGCTAAAAACATCTTTACTGACTTGAAAATATTTTGGTAATTTTCCATTATTGTCTGGAGGTCTTATAGTTGACTGGGTGCATTCGTGTTTAAAAGTGTTTGTGAGTAGGCTGTGTGTGTGTGTGTGTGTGTGTGTGTTGGTCTCCTACCTGGGTAGCCCACTGAGGGGTGCAGCAGGTCCATGGCAGCGCCGCTGAGCCCCAGGCCGTTGACGCCGTAGGGGGGCTGTTTGAGGTAGGACATCATGCTACAGGCGGTCACAGCTCCACCCAGCTCAGACCAGTGGTTCGGTTTCCCCCGATGCTGCAGCTTGACGGGACAGGGGGCCGATCCAAGTCACTGCGCACATGCAGGAGGAAATATTAGGAACATTATAGAGGAAGAAAAACAGGCTTTGGTGAGGGCCTAATTCATCCTAAACGCACGGAGAATATTTAGAAAAGACTTTTTTTTGGCACCAACATTTAAGATAAAACTCCTAAATGTAAGTTCACAATGACACGTGCGCATTTCAGTCTTTTCTATTGTTTGATGTTCAGCTGTTATAAATCTCGCTCCATTCTCACTTTTCCAAACGAATCAAACTGGGACATTACGCATGAAAACGCCAACAAATACAGAAGCATAAAGTTAATAAAATCCCTTAGTTATTATTTAGTGGCAGCAGGATATGAAAGCGCGAATTACTGGACGATAAACTGGTCATTTAGAGGCAGAGACGAACATTAAAATCCCTTCAGGAATATTGGATTTTAGTTGAGAGGATAACCGGGGTCAAACGGCTCCAACTCACGACCCCAGCGGAGCAAAATAAAACCTGACGGTACACAGCTTTTCATCCACAAACCACACTGCAGTCACGTCTTTAATCTTTTTTAAACGTGAACTAAAATCTAATAAGACGACGAAGAAAGTTAAGGTAAAAATATGCAAGTTATTAGTAAGGATGATCCTGTGTTTGTGTCAATACATTTGATTTTTTCCCCGTGTGTGTGAGCACACATTGCATGAATGTTGATCTGCACATTTATTTTTAAAATGACCATCACCTCCTAGCTGCAGAATAGGCTCTTCTTTTTAATCCTACATTTTCTCCATTTGTCATGTTGTTAAAATACCGCGAGCTTTGCTATTTTTACTTTAGAAGATGATCTAAATTCTCCTTTAAAACAAAGCAAACAGAACTCAATAATTCAACCAAAATAATCTGTTGTCCTCTATGATGTCATGCACAGTTTTACGCAGCCAATAATTAGTGTGACACTGGACTCACTTTTTTCAAAACTTTAGTCACTTCTAAAGTCAAAAAGCAAAACGCTGCAAGAAGATTTTCAACAATAAATCTAATTTCCAATTTTAAAAAAGTCAAATTTTCCTTTTATTATTATTGTCACTTATTTCCCTGCAGTTGTGTTTGAATTATTTTCATTGCAAGAAAAATAAAGTTTAAAGTGTAAACTCGCTTCCTGACTTTAATATGAGTGTGTTCGGTGTGTGTGTGTGAAGGCCTGCACTGACACTACACACACTCACTCACAGTTATATAAAGCTGGATTATGGATGTGGTTTGATAATCTATAAAAAATCACAGCTGTGGTTGTCTCAAGTCTTTCTGTACTCGCTCATTCTGTTTGTTTCGGGTCGTCAGACTTTGTGTGTATTTTGACCACAGCGAGGCTCCTGTGGATCTGAAATCAACTGAACCCACAGAGGAATAAAAATACATCAAAATAATCCGTTTTGGTATGAGGGTAAATTTATATTTATATTTACAGAGAAACATCTGAGGAGTCTGATTTATTTGTGAAAAGATAAGTGACCTCGCTTTTATGTTAAGGCTCAGGGGTAAAGACCCAAACTTTAAAAAAAAAAAAAAAAAAAAAAAAAAGTCAAATTATTTCCTCACTTTTTGGTTTTCTCCAGATTAAAATACTCACGGTAAAATTATATTTTCTATAAAGCATAATTATGATTTGTTGACCCTTTCTGTGGTTTTAAAACTGTTTATTTACAGGCCACGTTATTTGCTTTTTGGTTGTTTGTTTCTCTCAGTAAACACGACTGAATTAAAGACAACATTTAGGGGAAAATAACATCTCAAAATATATTAATCCACTAATTCATCATCTCCTTACACATTAAAATAACCTGCATTTACATTTAGACAACACTGATAATCTTGCAGGAGGTTTGAAAGCATGAAATCTATTTTTAAAGCTGATTTTAAAGTTTGATTTTCACCTCTATAAGTGCAGAATTATCTCACCCATAAAAACAGCCTGATGTTAAAATGGTGTGAATTAAATTAGAGTCTCTGCAGAGCAGATTATTTTAACAATGAGCTCCTGACTGACCAAAACCAAACCTGAACTAACCAAACGTGTATTCCAGCGGCTCCTCGCAGCGCGTTCTGCAGCCCTGCCAGGCCGGAGAGTGAAAAGGCGAGATCTCGGTGCAAATGAACTCAATTAGAATTTAGATTAGACCTCCGGGGAGAGAGCGTTTCAGAAGGGCTCTTATCAGCAAAATAAATTAACAAAAACCAAAACACGCCTCTCCAATTATCTACTAAGTGGTTCAAACGCTTTAATGGCCAATTGCTCTCAAATAAAAAAAAACTCGCAGGAACGAACTGGAATAGAAATATTAAAATTATCTACTCCGGAGGAAGTTGACTCAATTCATCCAGTTCAGGTCGGAGTCCTCCACGGTGAGGATTAATTGATATATCCGCTAAAAAAAATTCCTGCAAACGTGCAGCGGTGCAAATTGAAATCACGCGGTCCATATGTCACAGTTAAACGTGAAAACCCGCTCCTGAAATGTCTAAAAAAGTGACTTTCTGTCGCTTCCACACTTTAGCTGCTTCTGTTAACGCTGCACCGTTTGTTCCTGTGCGTAAAAACGCGCACAAACTCGACATTAATCGACTTTGAATGTGTAAAACTGAAGAAACTTTACCTTGTTTTTCTCCTCTTCCCTTCTCCCGAGCTGTCGGGTCACAGGAGGCGAGCAGCAGTGAAATTATCCAGCAGTAGGAAGTCTGCAGGGCACAAAACTCAAACAGCGGCAGACTTGCTCAGAAACAAACAACAATGTGCAAACCGGGCAGCATCACGGACACAAAAAAACACGCAGTTATCAGCGCGCGGGCGTCACCAACGCGTCCTCGGTGCGGTTCCGCGTGTTTTTGCAGCCAAATAAATCAAACTCATTTGCTTTCAGGGGGCTTGTCGTTGTCTGTCAGAGTGTTAAGGTGATTTCTAATGGAGACGGATGGAGATTGATCACCTTCTCTCCGCCCTGCGCCTCTATGAGCGGAGGACACCTGCGGATCCGCCTCCTGCAGCCAATGGGAGCGCGTCCCCGGGCTGACGGACGGCGGGGGCGGCCTATGGGCGCACAGAGGCAGCCGGGAGCGCCCACTCCCACTTCACCCCCACCTCCCTCCTTCCTCTCGGTCCCGGTCCCGAGACCAGACGAACCAAAGAGAGGTTTTTAAAAAGATGGAAATGTTTCACAGGCCTGCAGGAGAAACAGAGAGTGTAGAGCTGAGAGTGCGTAAAAGACGAATTTAGCGGTTATTCACATTTTACGCGAATAGTTTCTTATTTTATAATTTGCACGGAGCTCAGTGGAGGAAACACTGGAGGTATCCTGTCAAAAAATAAAATAAAATCTGCACTTTTCCTCCATTAAAAAACATTTTCCTCTAAATAATCAGACAGTTTTTAGCATCCTTGAATCACACGGTGTCTTATTCTCAAATACATTATTTTTTTGTTAAATGAAATAAAAATTATGATTTCAAATGTTTCCAGAGATGGAAAATGTTTTTTGTGAGGCTTAAAATGTTTGACAGGGTGTTTAGTTTGACAGAAAGCCGCATTTTCACCACAAAACACATTTCCGACAGGCCGGGAAGCCTCAGCTGCTTTTTAAAATTATTAATACTTTTATTATTACCGTTAATTCCTCTGTGATATTTCTCACCCTCCAAAAACTGAACGTGAGAAATAACAAAAAAGGAGGAAAGAAGTTAAATTTATCCATTTTGATTTTATTGTGATACACCCCCTCCTCTCCCTCTCCACACACACACCAGTCCTCATGAATATTAATGAGGTCTAATCCCCATTTAGAATTACATTTGAGGATGGTTGACGTAAACTTTAATAGGGATAGACCTCAAACTCACTGCGGAGGAAAAAGAAGAATCCGCAGAAGAAGAAAAATCAGCACCAAAAAGCTGCGGTCACTGAATCAAATCCTGCACTTTATATGTCGGTGTTTTTTAATGTGTTTTTAACCCATCACACACAAAAACAAACAGTATTTTCTCTGCTGTGTTTTTTAGCCCGGGTGTCAGTGAGGGTCGCGGGGATGCAGCAGCTCAGCTCGGGCTATTCTTTTGTGGATCTC